GCCAGATGAAAGTCTCCTGAATGGGAGAGACAGTCCATACAGCCCTGTGAAAACATGGGGATTCATCTGCTTCCCATATTGCAGTTGAAACTGTCCCTGATGAGCTCAGAACTTTTGAATGTTGGATGGGATGCGCCAAATACCCATCCAGCCCTGACTGCTGCTCTGGCAGAAGCTCAGAGCAAGTACCTAGAATGGAACATAAAACGCCACATTTCCCCAGAAGATTCCCACCACCTCCAGCAGCATAAGGGCCATTTTCCATTCCTTTGAATGAGGGGCAATATCCAAGACAGGCAAGCCAATAGTGACAGAGGCAAACAGCTTGCTGATATGTTCAGCACACCCCTGCATATCCCTCTGGCTGCCTTAATAATCTGCAGGGATACTCATAAATGCAGTTTGGAAACCCCTAGTCCACGTATTTGGCAAATCTCGGTTCTGCTGGGGAACCTGAGTATTTTCTGACTAAAATGGGAATTTTTTTTAACTCCACTGTCACACATTAAACGCACAGGTTCCACTGTGGGCAAAAACTCTCTAGATTCTGTTCCTCATGAGTCTGGCAAGAGGAAAGTTGTCCCAGCAGTCATGTTTGCCTGAAACAGACTACAAGTAAATCAGCCTTCTCAGCATGACATCTTCTGCTGTTTCCTTACTGGAAATTTTGGAGGACACACTCTCAAGGTGCTGTTTGAGTGATGGTGGAGTTACAAGGGTCATCACACTGCCAGCCCTTTCCTGTTTCTATGAGGTTTTCAGGCCATATCTCTGAAGTTTTTGGTTTGTTATTCTGGTCTGTTACTTCCTTGCATTCTGTTTCTTCAGGAGCTGTAGAAAGGTGGGAGAAGGAACTGTTGCAGACTTCTCACTAAGGATGTCCACCAAAATCAGAAAAAATGCTTTCACCTGTATGTCTTCACAGGGCTAATTATTTGCTTAAGTGCTTGTAAGTTTAAGTATTTGCTGATTCAGAGCTTGTTCATCAGAAGAGGGAAAATAGAGAATAACTAGGCCATTGGAGAATGATTGGAGGATATTTGGGAGTGTTTAGGAGCTCTTGGCAGTTAAAGTTTTGGGGCTGAATTCTACATACTTCAGTCCTAAGTCGCTGTGTTAACTGCAGGATCTATCCTCATGTTTCTCTTCAGGATTTCATCTCTATCTCCTTTCTGGAAATTGGTGCTCAGTCAAGGACGCTTGCTTCCCGGAATGACACCACGGCTGAGCAGCTGAGCCAGCAGTGTGCCGAAAAGTTTGAAGTCTCCCATCCCAAGGACTACGGACTCTTTGTTTATGTTGATGACCAGTGGCTGCAGCTGCACAAAGATGCCCTTCCTCACCATATCAAAGCCTCTCTGCTGAAGAGTGAAACCAAGAAAGACTTCCATTTTATTTATAAACCAATAGACCATAAAACCCCACCAGTTCCAATTGTCAGAGAGTCAGACTTTCCCTAAGAGCCATGCTGCTCTTTAGTTGTGTTTGCTGTCACCCTGGAAGGGCTGGGTAGTTTATCTCATGAGATACTCTGCAGACCCCAGAAGGTCAATGGAACGTGACCTTCGACGCAGGGCAGATGTGCTAATTGTAGATGCTGTCTGAATACAGGGCATTTCTCAGCAGAGTTCATTTGCAGAAATCAAAGGAGCATTCAGGAGAACATTCATCCTCTGAAAAACTTGAAGTATCAAACCTCAGAACCTCCTGCTGGCAACCAGCCGAAGTCGCAGAATGTCAATGGACAGTGCAGAAAACCCAGAGATCTTGCAGGAAAGTGGACATTTACTCTGTAATAAATTATGGCAGGTGTGAATCACCTCTGTGCACAAGGCCTGTGAAGGGTCTGCACACACCTCAAGCTGGAGGTCAGACTGCGTTTATGCCTTACATTCTCTGTTCACCCGGTTTGAATAAACCGAGTCTTGTCTGGTGTATTCAGTGCAATAGGGTTGCCACCCGTAGCAGAACTCCATCTCTGTCTTGCTTTCTACAACTTGTAATTGCCTTTGAAATCCACGTAATTACAGACCATGCAAGATGATCCTGTACATTCACTAAGAATACATTTTCTGCCATCTGTTTGTCACTGAAATCAGGTAGCATAGGCATTTTCAAAAATGTGTTTTTCTTAAAGATTGAAAGTCTTCACCATCAGTTTTACATGTACAGCAGTGTTAACCACATTGGTTGTATGATAGTGTCTGGTTAACTGTATATTTATTTCCGTGTGTGATATGGTGCAATTATTTTAAAACAAATGTTTGTAAAGAACTTAATAATTTGCCCAGTGTAGCAAACCAGCTTAAAATCTGAAAGTAAAAAAGAGCTAGAATTAAATACCTGTCCTTTTTACCCAGATGTCATTTTCTTGAGTGTTTTCATATCTACAAGTCCCACCAGGTTATGACTTCAATAAATTCAGGCTGTTGCAGACAGAACTTGCTAGTTCTCCTCTCTACCTGTGCTTTCAGTCATTCAGTCATTGCAGACATAAATTTCCCAGCAAACCTGAATTCTCACAGAATAAACTGAACCAGTGCAAAAATGCATTTAATGGAATTTGAAAACAGTTTTTCAGGACTTCATAATAGAAGCAGGAGCCTTAACTGCATGACAGGTCCATGTCTTCTGGGTGCCTTCAGGCAAGAGTCCCACTACAAACACAGGACACTGGATTGTCTGCATGCAGGAAGCAGCAACCTGCACTGCAGCCACACAAACTTGGGACCAGGTCTAGTGAAACTCTGATTAGAAAGAAACGGTGTTTTACTGTGGGTTTTGCTCAATGCTGCTGTTTTCTCCCATTAAAAGAGAAAAAAAAAGAGCTGGGACACGTCGGAGCAAGTTGCCTTACTCCTGAACCTCCAAGGGTGAAATGGTACCACATGTAGCTGGTCACTTTCTCCGTTGCTGAGGCTTGAAATGCCCACATCTACGTGCCCCAGCTGTAGTGTAACTGGCCCCAACTGGCCAAATCTGTGTAGGGATAGCAAACCAGTGCTGTGCATCTGCCAGCTTGGGCTGCGTGTGTGTCTTGTCAGGATGGGACAACCACCAAGAATGAGGAACAGTGAATAATAGCAATCTTGGTTTCGAGAACATCATGTGCAGAGCTTGCAGCGTGTGACACTGGCACTGAGCTGACTCCACATTCATGGTTATTTCTGCTTGTGTGCAGCTGTCAGCACCTCTGCCTCTGGTAGCACGCCCGCAGGATGCTGGAGCTGAACCCTGCCTGTGCTGCTCTCAGCCTCTTGCAGGGCAGTGTGCTCCTGCTGGGAGCCTGGGCTGCTCTAGGGGTGACACTCAGGATGCCATGGCCAAACCTGAGGTACAGGTTTCCAGTGCCTATCCAAAATGCTGCTCTCAGGGCCCTGAGACCTTGTACCCCCTCTCCTCCAAAAAACACATACCCCACCTCTCACCTCCCTTCCCCACCCAAACCAGGGCCCAGACTGGCTCTCTGGACTACTTCCCACTGGCCTCATCACCTCACTCCTTTGGTAGGACACCAAGCCATGTATCTGCCTTGACTTCCACGACCTGTGCACAGCTATCATACTGCACAGGGTGCACACATAACAGGACCAGAGGTCTCCAGCACCAGATCTAGAGATGTGATGGGTCTGATGAGCAGCTTTGTTCTATCATGGCTGCTGCAAGTTATTGTAAACCCCAGGAGCAAAGATATACATATGTCTGACAAAATCCTTGGCCTGATCAGGTTGTCTTTATACTGTAACATTCAGAGTTAATAAGCCTAAAGTAATCTGATGGGGATGAGGCTAAAGTAGAAACATGTGAGGAAGAAAGCTAGGACTGCTCTTCTGCTGGATATTACCTGAGAACAACCTGTGGTGGTGCAGACTCCTCCTCCCTGGGCCACATTGCCAACATGTTGTTCTTGCTTTAGCTACAAGGGCAACGGGCCCAGCATTGTTCTTGTTTCAGCTGCAAGTGCAATGAGCTGGGACCACCTGGCACTTTCTGACCTGGGCTGCTGAGGCAGTGAAGTGAGACAATCTGGTATCTTCTTGTCACGGTATGAATACAGTGAGTTGGGATGGTTTGGCACTCCCTAACTGCACCTGGAGCTGCTGCTGCTGGGAATCGTACCCGAGACACCTCCTGCCTCGATCACAGGCCCACATTAGAAGCTGCCAAGATCACCCGACAAGAATTGTGGCCACAATTTCAGTACTGACCAAAGTCAATCGTCTTGTGACCCTATAAATATCAGTCCTCAAGTGAAGCCCTTTGGAGCTCTCGGGGATCGCAGCAGGCTGCCACCCTGTATTTCACTGTTCAGACCAGCTGCTGATAGAAGCCAGAGAAGATGTAAGAGTGAGGAGTTTTAGACCATCCACTGACAGAAGTCGACAAAGGGAAGACAGTGAGTATAGTCAAAACATCTCAATCATAAGTTAACCTCTATCTCTGTGTGTCTATACGTGCATGCAGTTTAATTTAGGAACATTTATTAAATCTTTATCTAAATTGCTGTGTATAATTATAACAATTTGTTGATGATTGACTAATTAAATGTTGCTACTAATTAGGTGTTGCTAGAAAATCATATATATGATCATATAATCTGATTTTGTGATTTGTGACACCTAATCCCTTTAAACATAAACTGTTGACCGAGTCTGGGACTAGGAGTGGATCCAGCCACATCTCCACTCCTCTCTGAGAAGGCATTTGGAAAGCAAGGGGATCCAGTCTGGACGTCATGACTCAGTGGGAGATCCTCCCTTACTCTTTTTTCCCTGATCCCCATGTAAATAACTCCAACGCAATCCTGACTCACTTCTCCCCAATCTCTATATAAGCTATTTCTCCTGATCCCTGTGTAAATCACTTCAGCCTGAGTCCAACCTTTTTATGTTCCTTCCACATAGTAAGTAATAGAGTGAATCTTGCCATCGAACTCTATTAAGTTCACATTAAAAATCCCCTTTTTTTCAATATCTTTGATGGTGCTTCTTTAAGCAGCCTTTGCATTGGCCAGGGTCAAGCAAGTGATTGATGAAGTGACGTCCTCTGGTCCTTTGCAGCATCCTGGGACACCTGAATCAGCAGCTGAACCTCAGCGTGAAGAGGAACCACGGATTATATGGCTGGTTAGTGGAGCTCATGGAAACCATGACAGTCCTAAATCACTGTCATCCAAACAGGCTCAGACTAAAATTTACCAAAGTCTAGTCCCAAAATCAGATCTGCAGATCCCAGTTTTCAAGTGCCAGCTGAATTTCTATGGGCTTTTACAAAGGGTCTCAAATTGGACATACAATATTTTCCTCTGGCATAACAACTGCAAAACTGATTTGATTTGCAAAGGTTGCCATGTCTCTCCCAAGCTCAGAGAGAGTTGGGCCCTCCTCTAGGGCCCAACCACAGCTGTCCCTTGTCAGGGAATGCAAGCTGGGAGGTGACCCAAATGATGGAGCCTGGAGGACCCAGGACAAGCTCCCAGGTCAGTGGTGGGACTTAGACTGTGCCTGTGCCACAGTCATGCAGAAACAGCCATGCTGGAACAAATGTGCTGGTGTTTTGGTGACCTTGGCAAAGCTCTGAGTCCTTGGCGTGGTGGCTGCTGGAGCAGTTCAGTATGTCCTTCTGTCTGCAGCCTGGTGACCAGGGTCCTGTGCTGCTTTGGGTGGTCTCTGACATTTTGGGTTATAAGGAAAAAAGTATCAGAGGTGCAAATTAAATGGGTATTTTTAAATGCTCCATGGGAATTCATTCACTTGCTTTGCCATGGGGATTTCTCATGCTGCAGCCCTGGGAGGAGGAAGCAGTCCAGTCAGGTGATCCATGGCCTCTCCAGGTTAGCCAAGATGGTCACACTGTGACTCATGCACTGGCCCTCACATGAGCCATCAGCAGACAAGGGCTTCAGGAGAATTTGACCAAGTAGGGTTGTGCAATACGGCCAAGGCCTCCTCAAACACTTGTTTGCAGGGAAATGTTGTGCAACAGTCACTCATTTATTTACAAGGAAAGGATCCCAGTGTGAGAGAGAGGAAGAAGGAGACCAGCTGAACCTGGTAACCCCTGCAAAATAAAAACCCAAAAGCCTGAGTGGCCACTTTGTGCACAGAGCTGGTTTAATGCCACTTTGTACCCACTGATAAAATCTGTTAATAATTCACTGAAATAATTATACTGGCAGATCACATATGACCTAAAATAAAAGCCATTGAAATCAAAGGCAGTTTTCCTGTGAATTCAAGAGCTTTGGGGCATCATCATGTGTCAGTCACCAAATGTTCTTTGAATCCTGGCACAAGACAGGCTTTTTTCCACAGGCCTGTGGAGTGATTCAGGCTGGTAGGGACCCCTGCAGGTCGCCAGTCCAAGCCCTGCTGAAGTGGGGCTGCCTCCCAGGGTTGCTCAGGGCCTCATCCTTTCAGTGCTGCAGATCTCCACAGCCAGAGATGGCACAGTCTCACTGGGGCCCTCGTTCAGCATTTCAACCCCTTGCACTGTGAAAAACGGTGTGAAGACCCTGCCTGTCCCTCTTTGGATGGGGGTTGCTGCTGTGGGACACTGGCCAGCTCTGTGCACGGTGCATGGGATTACACACTTGTGTTTCTGCTGTCTCCCGTCTCTTTTTGGGTTATCGTGTCCCTGGGAAGGAAGCAGCCTCTGATTCAGAACTGCCTGAGCTCTCAGCACAAAATGCTGCTGAGTCAGGACTTTAGATTTAGGTCCCTTTCCCTCTGCTGCTCCTCCATCCCTGCTCTCACAGGGCAGAGGCTGAGCACAGGAACAAGAGGCCTTCAGCTTCTGCCCTGAGCACTGCAGATTTGGCACAGAACGGCCGGGAAAAGGGCTTTGACCTCTGTTCCTAGCAATAAAGAGGAGGACAGGAAGACATGGCCAGTGCAGTTGACACTCTTCCTGTCTTTAAGGATATACACAACTATTCTGCTCAGGAAAGATTTTTGTGAATAACACAACCTCAACATTGTCCTGTTCTGCCTGGTGATGAGGATTTGCCAGGAATCCGACAATTTTCCATATTTTGGAGAAGTCCTGCCCTCCAGCATTCTAGGAACGGCAGCTGGAGCCGCTGCATGCCTACAGGAAGAGTGAGGGTGTCTGCAGTTGCCCAATACAAGATACTCTGGTGTAAGACTAACCTTGCACAATGCCAAAATGATTTTCTCATCATCAGGTTCTATTACCAACCCTAAATAAACAGCCTGCCATGCAGGCACTAAGCCTGCATGATGCTATTTGGAGGCCTTAAAACGAATGTATTGATCAGCACAGGTGAAGGGTTTTGGGTTCGTTCCCTGAGTGCAAAGGAAATGGGTCTCTGGATACGGACTGGAAATTCAATAGCACTTTAATGCTTTTTTGTGGGGCATGGGTAAGAACCTGCTGCATCTCACAGTACTGTGGGATGCAGTGACACCTTCAGCAGATTGCCTCTTGCTTTGATTTCAGCACATCCCTGAGGGAGGGGGTAATAATGCTATGGGTAGCATTTAGGATGGTGAAGCTCTGGAAATCACTCTTGCAGAAGGAAAACAGACAGAACAAAATCTCCACTCTTCCACATTTCAGCTTTGCATCTTCAGAGCTTCACAGGACTGCAGGAGGTCCAGGTAATGAGGTATAAGTGTCACCTGGGTGTCAGTAATGTGTGAAAAGGAAAGGGTGCGCCAGCACCTCATTTTTCATCTGGCAATTACTTTTTGAGGCCTTCTTAGTATGGCTGGAGACTCTTGGCTGTAAAGTAATGCTATCTGTGAAGAACCTGGAGGGCTTTTTTTTCCCCTCTGCTTCCTAGATAAGAAAATGCAAAATACTAAAAAGCCTCTTGCAAATACTTCAGAAGAAAATAAGTATGTCTAAAGGGTCAAGAAAATTGTTACAACTATGAACAGATGATGCTAGGAGCTTGCGAAGCAGGCTGGATTTTTAGGGCAGAGTGCAACTCTGAAAGCAGAGATGAGTAAAATTTAGCAGATTTAATGTAATATGTTCAAAGAGGGCTTTGAAGGAGTAATTTTTCCAGTTCTTTCAAAATGACTGAGGGCTCCTGGTAGACTCTTTTCTGACAGCAGCCTGACTGCCTAAAAGCTGTCCTGTGTGGCCAGCAGGCCAATACCTGCAGCATGTTCAGGCACCAATGCCCTTATTTTTAGATTTCTGCTAAAAAACCCCAGGTTTACAGCTGAAAAGAAACAAGAAGCAACTCAAAAGCAGCACACATCTGAACTTTCATTTCTTAATTCAGTAAAGCTTAGGTCCCCAGGCTTCTATCTTTTCCCTTCCATCTTGATGGGTGTTCTCTGGGATTGCTCTCACTCAGCACACAGCTGCAAGAGCTAATGCTGCTGGCCTTATCTGGCTCTTCCTTATATAAAAGTAGTTTCAGTAACAGCCCCTCTCCTCTGAATGGAGCTACCCAGATCTCTCTCCAACCTGGAGATGCTGGTTTAGTTTCTGCTAGTTTGCTCTTTTCCCATGGAGATGATGTGATTTTGCAAATTTTAACACACTTTGAAAAGAGCCCTGAAGTATTTCTGTATCCTGTTTCCATGTATAAAAAAGTAGGGACAACCTGAAACCATTTTGAATCACCTCATAGTACTGTACCTCATAATTTTCCTCCTGCTTGTCATTTACTGAGTCATCTGTAAGGAGTGGTGCCTCCAAGTATGATTTTGAGCTTTGATATTTCTTGTTGTTGCTTTGTTTTGGCATTTGTTTTGGTTTTTGTTGGTTTGTTTGGGGTTTTTTGAGATGACCTGTCTAATAAAAGGCTTACAGGGGATAACCTTTTAATGTAATATCATAAAATTAATTAGCTCTCATTAATTTTCAAGACATAAGATGTGTAACATTGTATTGCCCTGTAGGCTGATGAAACTGTCAACTTTATTTTTATTCACAAGCAATTCCTGTACTCTGACTTCCCACAGGTTTGTGTGTATATACATTTAATTATAGCATACTGGTGCTAAATTTACAGCATTAGATACTTGTGTTTTGCTTTGGGAAACAGTGCTTTCCTACCCACAAGGACTGTTACTGTTCACAGTTTTACTGTGCTGTTCACATCTAATAATTCTTGAATACAACTCATTTCTTTAAACTGTTAAGGAGTTAAAGCTTAAAGAACAAGCTTTGGTTTCTTCACTCTTTAACCAATCTCCAAATAAGTCCCTCTAATGAAATTGATTAACTTTAAAAAAAAATCCTAATAGTTAGCAATAGTATAAAAAAATCTCCAGAATTAATGACTCAATGTTTAAATTTAGCATAAATTTAGCAATCACTGACAGGTGGCTTGTAGTGTTCATCCAGAGATTCTTAAAAGCATCGCGCTTCAAAACAAATCACTCATGTTGAAAGCTCCAGGTGCTCTGCCAAAATGCCCGAGTGGAACCAGCAGGCTGTCAGCAGGTGGGGATGCAGGGAGAGCACTGGCAAGTGCTGTGCTGCTCATGGTGAGGAGCCTCAGCTCCCAGCACGGTTCCAACATAGTGGTTGACTCTCTTCATGTTGCATGCATGTAAAGTCTGGATTATTACAGTTATGAAAAGTTATCGCTTCTAGTAAGGGTTATATTAGGGATTGTTGTTTCCATCAATACCCAAGGCACACTTTATCCATGGCCAGGAATATTCTGCAACAGAGAACAATAATGAGAAACTTTCCAGGTGCTCTGTGCTCAGACTGTTCCCCAAACTGATGCAAGTGGGGTGCCACCAGGAGTGGGGACAGCAGTTCTTCACCTTCTGGGTGGCATGTGCATGTTGCCTTAACTGTCCCCCTTCCCATTCCCTACCCCTCTGCTTTCCTCTCTCACTTTTCTTTCTCTCCCATGTCTCTCAAGCTACGATCCCATCTGCTACTACAAACTCCCAACACAGAATTTCAAGACCAAGCTTCCCTCACCTCTACTGCACCACCATGAGTCAGCCTGGACCAGTATTTCCCCACTTTCCTACCATAGACTCACAGATGAAGGCCCTAGCGCTGTATTCCCTTTGCTCACCAGAGCCCAGCAGTGCAGTGGTGGTGTGAACCAGCAGCTGAGGGGAAGCAGAGAAAATACAGCAGTTCCCAACCTTGCTTCATCAGTGTAAGATTACACAGGAGTTGCAGGGCAACACCCTCGCAACAGTCATGGTATGTGATGTTATGTGGTGCTGTGGGATCCTCCAACTGGCTAGAATTTCCCCTGAAGGTCTTCAACAAGGAAATTAAAGGGTTACTGGGGAACTGGATCATCATGAATGGGAGAGGACTCATAATGATATGTTTTCCAAAATAAGCATTCCTAACTTTGGAGTCAGAACTTTACTGCCAAAATGGACAACAGAGCAGAACAAGTAAGACGCTTCCAGTATTATCTGGCTATTTGCTTCTGTGTTTTCAGCCACAGATAAAACTACACCGTGTATCTGGGAACCTCATTACCTGTCAATGGGGTATCCTCCTTCACAAATGTTGACCAAGGCATACAGCTGTCTCAGTGCATATTCATACTGAAATAAACAAACATTGTTAATAATTTCAACTATGAAAAGCAGGTATTGTTAATCCAAACTAAATTGTGGAAGTAATTTAGAGATTCTATTGACAGTCAAAGTGTTTATTTGCTGGTCTTGACAATCTAGTGCTAGGCTAAATGGATCTTCTTCTGTGTACTTTGCTCTTTGAATTTCATTAGGTAATTCAGCTGTTGCTGCACACTGTCTCCTCAGGCAAGGCTCACCCATCTAACCAATTTCATTCAAAAAACCTCACAAAACCAACCAAACAAATAAAACCCCAAAACACTAAAGAAGAACTAAAAGTTTAACAGAGCAATGTGGCCTACTAATAGCCTGGTTGATGAGAAGCTCCATCTGAGGGAGTGCATCTGCTTTTTATTTGTAGGTAGTGCTTAAATCTTGGCTAACTGCCACATAATCCCATTGCTTTCTGCTAAAATCAATTAATTTGCTGTTGACTCACCCTACCACACAGCACTGCCTGCTTGGGTTATCCTGCCTGGCATCGGGACTGGGTTTTCTGGAATAAGAACTGACCTCTGTTATTTTTGACTAAACAGTACTTAGCACAACAGGATTTGGTCCTCAACTGGGATCCCAGGAAGATCAGACAGCTATAAAAGCCCTAAACTAAAAGGTGGCTTTTGGGAATTCAACAAGGCCACCGAATTCCGTTGGCTATTGCAAAGAACTATGCAACACACTGTCACAATTTAGAAATCTGAATCTACTAGGATTATGAATTCACAGTGGTGGTGCTGTTTCTGTTTTGCTAGTAGAAAGGTTTCAAGCAGAAATAAAACATAACATTTAATATTGAGACTTCTGAGGAGGGAGTTGATGAAAGGGCAGCACTAACTAGCAAAAATTAGAGCATATTTTCGTTTTGTTTTTAGTGATCTTCTTGCTTATCTACAGAGGTAGTGGCAGTGGTTTCCTACTTTCAAAAGTATTACTCACCCTTTATACAAAACCAAACTGCAAGACTGCCCCCAAGCTAGCTTTGCAGTAAAAGCTGATTTTGCACACCTGCTTATGACTGCTGTGCTTGTTTTACCAGTATGTGTATCAGGTTATATCTAATGCTCGACTTACCATGGCTAAGTGCCAGTTGAAGCAACGAGCTTTGAAGTGGTTCACCGCTGACTGGTAGCAGTCGTAATTGCTGATGGTCAATCTGTCTGACAGAATTTGGTTGGCCTGTTCTTTTGATCCTGTTACTAAGGTGATGATCTTTTGCATGGATTCCTGGATAAATTCTCTCACCTGCACACAAAACAAAAACTTAAAACATGCTTTTTCTAAACCTAATTTGAAGACTGTGAATAAAATTATCTTTCTTTAAACCTCAACTCTGGGGCTTTTTAAGAAACACAGTTTTGGCATTTATTTTTAGCACAGTCTTTTGGGCCTGTCTTTTGACACACAAATGAAAACCAGGGAGACAAAGTCAGACTGCTGGCACCAAAAATCACTCACTGTCCTTGTAGTGCTCTGCCAGAAAGATACCACCAATACTGGCTAACATTCTGCAGGGGCTATTTGATTTGGGAGACTTTAGCTCTGCTGAGACAAGAGTTGCTCTAATACCAAAGAATAACTCCTCTCAACAAGAATCCCTATGGATGCAGATGAGGAATTTTCTGTCAATAAAAGCTGCAAGACTGGCTTTTTCCTAGATAATCACTACTGGATGTGCCTTGTGGAACAGATCCCTGAATTTTCAAGGAGGAATAAACCATCAGCCAGAGGTTTTACCAGTCTGGAGAGTAATTTTGTTACAATTTGCAAAAACTGGAAGCAATCTCATTGGCTTCAGCGGCGTTACTTCTCCCACTGCTTATCATGGAAATAAATCTGACCTTGACCACGTAGTTCAAGATTTATTTATTTTTTGCTTACCTCCAGGTGTGTTTTCATCTCTCCAGCAATCCTCTTAGCCTCATAAATGTCATTGGTAGCCATCAGCTTTCTTTTCATGATTGCAAGTGGCACGTCGGGACTAGGCATCAGGTCATGGTGGTCTACAGGCGGCAGAGAAATAGGGACAGCTTTCTTCCCCATGCCCTGAAACTGCATCACTTTCATGGAGGAGATGCTCTGAAGGTTAGAAAATAAACAAATGGAAACTGTCAGTCACTTCAGCAGGTAGTCTTGCTTTGTCATTCAAACCTAACTCTGTAAACTTGCTTTACTGCAGAAAATAAAGGAGATCATAGGGTTGTAAGTTTGTGTGTCTGCATACGAATGTTGGGTTTTTAATACAAGGTCAAGGCTGCCAAAAACCAGGCAACTTTTACTTCCAAAACTCATTGCAGGGGAAAAGACCATCAGGTTAAATAATCTGACTTCGTTTTTTTTAACAAATATTTAATGTGTGTTTCTATTAACACATTGAATAACAGGACTATTATACATGATATATCACCTCTAGGCTCTCCCCATTTGAGGGATCAATGTACTTATTAATATTTTATTAATATTCATAATATGCCTGAAAGTGGTAAATACCCTTCCTGCCCTCAGCTGAAGTGAAGTGTTAAATCACTGGCAGAGCTTGTCTCATATCCTGACTACTTGGATTAAAGCAAAATACAAGGACGTATTTCCTTCAGTATCAGGAACATCATCTCTTGAATGCTAAGTGGTCTACTGAGATGAACAGTTTTGTTTTCAAAATCAACCCTGCCAATTTAAAGAGGTGGTTTTTGTTTGGTATTTCTAAGCGATGGAAGTATAGGGTGCAAAGGTTTTAAGATATATCAGACCAGGAAGCCCACTGGAATACATACTCTGTTTCCATACTGCATCACATGGCTGGTGTTGGTGCGTTTCTTCACCAGTTGAAACTGCTTGTGGAGTGTTTCTTTTCTGAGATCCTCCTGCATGGAGAAACTTCCATGTGGTCACAGATACTTAAATTCAGCTATTCTAAAAATGCAAGGAAACCTGGAAAGGGTCATAGCTCCCACTATGTAGAAGGAAGTAAAGGGCAAGAGCTATACAACCTTTGAAATAGATAAAAGTAAAAATTGTAAAGAAGGTTTGACAGCATATTCTCAAATTGCTTTTAGTGATCTCCTGATTTCCCAGCGAATGGGCAAGAAGGAAGTGGGCTAGCATACAAATCCCGGATTAGTTTCATTAATACTGTTTTCCATTATGCTAATAAATGGCTTAGCCACAATTCAGTATTTAAGGATCCCTGCAGCACAGGTACAACTTACTGAACTGCCCAATTTCTTTAACAAATTCGGAGATGTGGTCTCAGATGAGCAAATCAAGATTATGTGAATCTGAAACTAGAAGTTAGACAGTTTCTAATCTTTTAAATAACAAAAAAAGAAGACAATGTTTCTGAAAGTTAGTTTCAGAAATAAATTTAGTGGCCCATACAAATAATTTGGTGATTTCAGTCTCGTAAAAAAGAAAAGACTTTCACAAATCCTGTAAAGGAGCTATTTTTCAAAAGCCTAGTGATTTTTCATGCATGGAAATGCAGAAACCTTATCTAAATAACTTACCATATCTGAATCTTCCATCCAATTCACACTGTACCAGTCCCCAAGGTAAGTCTGCCTTTCGTCATCATAGTAACACGCATAAGATGACTCTCTGGGATTGGCAGCTGTTGTTGCATAAACTGTAAGACAAAATAGAAAGTAATCTATTTTACCATGCTTTTGTACTTCACTGCACATGATATATTTGTGTAAGTACTCTGGCTTTCCATCATTTACTTGTAAATAGCAGGAAGGAAAGAAGCCTGTTAATCATTCTGTGCAGTCACTCTCAGTGCTGTTATAAGAGCTCCTTCCTTGCTGCCAAATGTGTGGTCTGAGATGTTTAAAAAATAATATGCACTTCTGAGGGAAAAATCCAATATTTAGAAAACTGCCTGAGAACACTGTGCACAGACAACCATCTATATATTTATTAAAATAATGAGGATGTTTTCCCAAACTTCTAGTAAATCCCATAAATCATTTTTTCTTCCAGAAAATGCTACCTTCTAAGTAATACCGTTTCTTGGTTAACACTGTATACTGAGAAAAGCAAACCAAATCTCTACAACATCTGCCCCAAGCACAGTATCCCAGTAAGCCATCTCTAACGCAACAGAAATACTGTCAACATGTCTCTACAGGTATTAAGACAAAAGGTATTTTGGCTTTTCGCCAAAGTCAACTCATAGCATACTTGTGTAACTGAAGGGAAGTCCACATTTCAAAATGAAAGTGTTACCCATGCTTTTATATAGCTATAGTGTTGTTCTCACTCGGAGTGCATCTGAAGTTCAAAAGCCAAAAAAACAGTCTTAAATCTTGGCTTTGAAGGAATGTGCTGCTCTTAGCACTCTTTAAAATGCTTACTGAGCATCCAGTTAAGCTTTACAGTTCACTATTGAAGGCTGCCCAAGACAGCTTTGTAGTGTAATATATAAATTGTCCATTTTCTGCCTTTGTATGTCTGTGGCAGAGCTGGTGATAAAACCAGAGTTCTCAGACTGGAAATTTCTAACAGAACAAACTTTGAAAAATGCTGCTTCACTCAGCATTTATTTTGAAGCACGGTCAATATGAAACATTCTGTGTGTACTTTCTGTAAATCCTTGATAGGGCTGTAAGAAGTCTAGATGGGTGCCAGGCAGCGAACTCCAGGGCCAAAGACCCAGGATGCTGTGGATAGCACATGGTTGGTCTTCCCTAAAATCACAGCTTCAAACTACAAGAAAGCCAGAGCACCCAGTGTCCCTGCCACAGAGCAGGACTTTGAAAATGTGATTCCTCATCTTTCTCAAGGCTGAGGTCCCAGCCATGAAAGATCTTAGAAACCCCAAAAAATCTGACTTCCACTTCTTGGGTTATTGTGCAAGAGAGTGTCGCAAAATTGGTTGGCAATGATGTCTCACAAGTGCCTTTGCTACTCAGTGAAACTGAGGGCAGAAACTTCCCACCTGTGTCAGGATAACTTAACTGCTACCAGTTAAGGGCAACCGCATAATTCCTGAACAGAAATTCTTTTTCAACTTCTCATTTGCAAGAAACTGAAAGCCCTAATAGTCCTTATAAGACTCTACTAATTCTTTAAAATGAACTTCCCATAAATGGAAAATATTACTCCTTCTAATTCTTGTGCTCCCCTGCTAAAGCTACATAAAGTGCCTTGAACCTATCCTTGATACAGTACCTGTTTAGGTTCTGCCTGTGACAAGTTGTGACATTTAAGTTCAGTAAGTTAACTGATTGCTCACCATTGATATTATCAGCCAAATGATTCATCATAGATCCAGACTCGCATGCTTCAATGTAAAAAACCATCTATAAAATAAATCAGAGACCTTAAGAAATTCCATGAGGAAATGGAGGAAAGTCCTTCAGTGCTTTTTCAGCTGTAGCTAGTTGGCCTGTACTGCTATCCCTGAAACAAAAGCTACCCATAATGCTACAAAATAAAACAGAAAAGCAATGAGATCAATTTTTCATGTTTGGGAACTAAACTATTTGGAAAAAGGAAGCATAATCACAGTGAAAAGATGCTATTAATCTCTACACAATCCACAGGGATCTGTTCATAAATACACAGCAGACAGATTACCACAGAAAGTTGTTTTAAAAAGGTAAACTACTAAAATGTTCCAAGTGTTAATTTTTCTGCTTAAACCTACTTGCAATAAAATAAATGCACGGAATTTTCTGACAAGAGGTACAGTCTCTTAAACTATATTGTTAACTGTAAGAGAAACACAGGGTCGATACAAACTTCCTGTAGTAGCAGTGCAGTCTGCAGTGAACAAAGCACAGGAAGAACAAGTCGGGTACACTTCATGAGGGTGCGGCAGTTACAGATGTTGTTTCTTCATGGTCGGTCGGAGTATATACCATTACTAAAATGCAGTACTCTGCACATCTGAATGTTGACTGCAAATGTAAACTAAAAATGGAAAGCAAAAATTTGGAGAGGATCAATCCTTTTAAGTGCAAAATCCTAATGCAAAATTGTGTTGCAACAGCTCCCTCCTGCTTTAAACAGCTCTCAAAATGAAGACAAATCTCTCTCTTCCATGCCAGCTGCTCTTCTAATCTCACAACTTCTGATATGCTTATTTACCTGACGGTACTTTTTGTGGCGATACATGTACCAAATAGTCTTATTCAAGTCCCTCACGTGAAGCTGTAAAATAAGAAGGCTTGTATTAAAACCACTTAGGTTCAGTAGACACATAATTCACTTAATAGGAATAAATACTAACTGTTGTGAATATGTTTATTGTTTCCCATTAAATATATTCAGTGTTTTGCCTTTCTGAAACACAATGTTCCAGTATTTACCACTCCAGAAATGATGAGTAATGGTCCCAGATAATGTCTATGGTCCACCAGAAAGCCAAGTCATACCTGTGTAAAACAGTCTGCTTGGACTACCAAAGTCCAATGTAATATTAAAAGACATAACTTAATTTCAACTTGAATGCTCAGATTCAAACTAGAAAAAATCCAAACTGGGGCAATGAGGAGAATACTGCTCCTTTTCTGCCTCACCCTTCAATATGGCGTTGAATCAAATATTTTTGTGGTTTATATTTATTACTTATTATTTTAGTATGTTACTAAAAAGAATTTTTTCATGACAAAGTAATCCCCCAAAATGCTTACATCATCATCAGGAAAAGCCAGAAGTCCTGGAGCTCCATGGTCAGTGAAATAAACAAACACATGATCCTTGGGACCACTGTAATAAAAAAATTGCAAACAAATTCTTTCTAACCACTCCAACCTAATCTTCATTACAAAATCACCTGCTTCCCAGTGCCAAGACATGTCAATACTTGAAAATAATACAGCTCAAGCACCTCCTCCTCTTGGTAATATCTTTTTCCTCCCAAAGCATACTACTTTGGGTGCTTATGAGTGTCTCCTCAAGGAGTGAAAACAGGGATACAGACCAGTTTTCCAGCCTGTGTAGTTCACTGTTTGCTGTAGAGTTTTATTGCACTCTAAAGCAAACAGACTATGCTTGGGGGATATTAAGGTTTTGCTCTAACAGACAGATTTGCAAAGGGATTTTACTTTTAAATAGTATTTGGGGACAATTAAAGATAAAATAATGTGAACAGATTGGAAGGAGACCCCAAACCCTTCTCTCTTCCTCTGTACCAGTGGTCCAGGAATCTGTATTTCCTCTTGCTCTTTCCTGACTGCAAAGAGGTGCAACTGCAGCAGCTCAAGGGGACATTGCTCAGCTTTCTGCCTAGCCAATAACTCTCTGGTTAGGGAACAACCTGGAAGACAATCTGGAAGCCTTTTGGAGGAACGTAACTGAGTTTTTGTCCCACCCAATAGCAAAGTCAGGCTACTTGGAAATCCACACAACTGAGCCTAACAAAGAAGGGCTGTGTGTTATTATTCTGGCTCCCACTCTTGGTTGAATTGAAAAAGTTCAACCAAGGCGAAATGTAAATAACTAAGACTTTTATATGTGGGTTCAAGTGGTCTTCCTGAGTAGCTAAGAGTCCCTCTACATTGCTACTCCTTTATTTGATTTGTAACATCAAGCTTTCCCAGGTGAGGTGTGTACTGAAGTACTTTATTTTTAAATTAAAAATGCCTAAGAGTCACCTCTTGACTCATTTCAGCTTCTAGAAGAGAACAGTCTAGTAACTGTGCAGCAATTGATTAACTTTTTGCCTGTATGCCTTGCATATATCATTTTCTATCTCTGCTTTTCAGGAATGAAGTTTAAATTCAGAGCAACAACTTATTTGATTACTGGCCTGCTCTTTCATTTTTATTCTCCCCAGTGTCAGGGCAGGATTCATCTGTTCTGTTTCATTGCTTTGTCTCTAAAATTACACTGTGCGATGGGCACTTACACTATTTTTCTTTAACTAGGTTAGTCCTTTTAAATGGTCAAATTTAAATTTTAACGGTTTTACAGGAAATACCATACACAGAAAAATAACATAACTTTTTACTAGCACTATTGAGTCAGAAATATAACACACCTTAGTAAACAGGCATCATACATTCATATCTCAAACTCTGTAGAAGCAATATGAATAACTGTCTTCAAATAAAGCCCTCAAATTTATTACTTTTATTCTTGAATCATCTAAATTATATCAGCCTTTATAAACTACGTCTATTAATTATAGATCTTGCATTCTACTTAGCCCGTCTACTATTTATTATTGTTCAAATATCAGAATATTGTCAAACTTACAATAATTTGTGTAACTTAACTTACAAATACCATAAGCATAATACATCAATTACAAGGTTATTTGCTTACACTACTTTTTCAATCACAAAGTTTTTTTGCATTAAACTGTAATTCCATTTCACTACATTCAAAGCTTCAATCGCCTTACTACACATGCAATTATTTTTTAAATTAAACTTCTCTTACCTTTTCAATACTTTTCCTGATCCCACTCCCTTCACTGCTTCTGCATCTCCTCTGAGAACAGCAAGGAAATTCTTTGGAGTAACATCCTAAGGGTTTAAGAGGATTAAAGCCAAATCTGATCATAAACACAACAAAATCTTCATTTAGAATGATGGCTTCTGAAAGTCAGAATCCATGCAGGGATGGCAAGTTTAGCTGGCCATCCTTTTCAATCTATTATTATATAATGTATTAACCACTGATGATTCACTCATATACTGAATCATGAAATCACCAAGTGATTGGATAACTGTTCTGATTTAACAAAACAATTAGTCTTACATAGCTGTTCTTCAGATTGAGTTACAACATTTAAGAATGCAAGACTTTTCCTCCTTTTATTTCATGTGCCAGCACAGAAATAGCATAAAGGTTTACTTTTAGGACCTCTGCTTCACTTCAAAGCATCTATTGTTTACATTCATCTTACAAACACCAAACTTCATGCCAAACCATGCAGGTGAATAAGATGGAGGCTTTATACTATGTGCATTTTTCAGTGTAAGCTACAGGCTGAAAGGATTTATTCAGAGCATTGGCTAATGCTGGACCTTCCCTGGGGAATGGTGTTTCATTCCTACCTCCTTTGTGTAGTCCTTGGGGACTCCAGCATACACATCTGTGCCATTAGGTCTATTGATGACAATGCCTTTTGTTGGATTTCTGAAAGTTAAACAGGACATAAATATGAATAATTAGTCATGTGCCACACAATGACCACAGAACATCTAGGAAACAATCTGAACTGTCCTGAATGACCAGATTGCCCATATGAGACTATGGGTACTTGCACCACGTCTCAGAAGTCGTCTCAGAATATAAAGGCCTTTTCACTTCAGTTACATATGCTCACCTCAGGTGCTCTTACCCTCAGAGCACCTTCAAATATCCCAATATTAATGCCAATTAATCTGCAGATGTAGGTGAGTGGTCTAATTTACTATCATCTTCTGCATGTGAAGTTTGCTGATTCTTGCTGAAGTTGTCTCAGAATCAGAGGCTGTAAAACTGAACTCTTTCATACAGAAAGCTCCAGTCAGTCACCAAGAACGGGATATGTACACTTCTTTGTTGAATGTACATTCTGGGAATGAATCTAATAATGCACTTTCAAAAATCCCTGCGAGTCATACATGGAGCTTTGTTTGTGGTTTTAGGCTATTTATCTGCTGTAAACTGTTACGCCTATGAGTTAATATCACTTACTCTTATAACAAGGAAGCTCTGCAGTCCTCAGTGACACAACTGATTCTGAGTTGTGAAGTAAGGCTTAGAAAGCTCATGAGCACATTTCAAAGGAGAATTATTGTGCTAATGGATAAGATGTCATCTATGCATACTACATGCGGATTTAAAAGCTTTTCTTACAAAAACTACGGCAAACTCAAAACACATTGGTGACTATGGCATACTTGTAGTAACCATACAGTTTGTGAGTAGTGCATGCTCATCACTTACTCTTCATTATCAGCAATGTCATCATACATCATGACAATGATCTGTTCATCTGGAATTCCATTTCGGTGTACAATCTGGTACGCATGGCACACATCTGCCTGAAAGGAAGCAGATTTTCATTACTAGCTTTAACAGAGATTTAACCTTTGAGACCAGAAGAAAAACGGCTTTGTAGACCTAAGAGCAGGCTGTTGTCCAGAAGAAACTGCATTCTACATAAGAAATTGAGGGTTTCTAAAGGGATGAAATGCAAGGGTTAAACCAAAACACCATGTCATTCACCAACTAGGAGTAGTTGCATTAATAATAGAGACTATGATTAAAATATCTCTCTCATTTACTTATTTCTATTATTTATTTAAACGGAAACCACAAGTTACTTCAGACTTGATACAGATAACAAAATTTAACAAAATTTTCTCAGCAATGGTCTGTGTTCTGTGAAAAAACCTAAACGAAAACCTTGTGCACTGACAGACAAATCCAAAGTGTGCCAAGCAGAAGAAGAAAAGAGTTGGATTTCCACCAATTTCAATTAGTTCTGTACTAAGCCTGCATGACTAAGCATCAAAGACTGTTCTTGGTTTAAGCAATTATGTTTTACCAATCTCATCTCTGGAAAGATTTTATTAAATTTAGGTTACTAGATAAGAATTTTGGTTAAGGAAATGTATGTATTCGTATGCGTTCTTGTAGAGTAACACTGGAGCAACTTCAGGGCAAGAAAACAGATTTCAGCGGAGAACAGAATTGCAGAATTTCTATTCTGGCTCTTCTCCTGACTTGTACAGGATATGAATAAGCAGATTTTCTTTACAGAACCATCTTTGCATGATGCAGAAATAACAATACTCATCAAAGTGATATTACAGTAAACACAAACCTCTATCAGAATACTAAATTCTTAGCAACTCCAGTCCAAATAATTCTCTTTTATACTTGCAGTCTGTGAATGACCTAAAGGGATACCAAAAACAATTCCTAAACTCTACAACTACAACCTACCACAGGCTAGAAAAGCTGTGCAGATTTCACAGAAGAAATCTCATCTAACAAATGCACACTCCAAATGCAGTCAAGAAGCAAACCTTAAAGCCTGTGTCTCTTGAACTAATCAGGTTTGCTAGTTTGTAAGCCAAACTGGAGTGGTTTAAGAGAACCTACGTACATTCAGATAAGTTGGAAGTATTAGTGATTTTGACTAGTTTAAGTGAAAGGACACTGTAAACTCCTGTCACTTTATAATCTTTGATCTTCTAAGTGCGGCTGAAGCTGAAAAGAGAGGTTAGTTGTGCAAGAGTCTGGGAAGGGTGAGGCACATTCAATGCTGGTGAACTCTCCCACAGCAAAATCTCCTCACGTGATTAACCCTGAATGTTACATTGTCCTTACTAAAGAAGTTCCACTTCCTACTCTGCAGGTCAGCCTATGTCCTCTTCCACCTATTCCAGGTAACTTCCACTGTTTATAGTTTTCCATTTCCTTGCATGTCATTATACCAGCTGCTGCCTCAACAAGGCAAAAGGTAGGGGTTAAACAGATATAAAAGGCATCACATATAATATGAAACTGCAGAGTGCAGGTTTGTCTAAACATGTATTCGATTTTCAGAAGCAACCCAAGCAAAAGTAGAAGAAAACACTAACTGAGGGGCATCTCTACACTGGCTGATAAGTAAATCATAGATCTCCTCTCACCCTCGATGCAAAACACAGTTCTGTTATGCTGACAGAAAATAATATAGGCTGGCAACACAAGGAAATGCGTAGGCGTACTATAGTGATATAATATCAGTATCTTCAACCAACGAGTGTCTGTGCTCCCATAGACACATGGCTGGCCAGTAGGGACTTCAGAGGTGTTTAAATTAACACCAAAGTACCTAAAATTAGTTAAGCTTCGCAAATGCATGTTACCAGCTTTTTGTCTGTCAATGAATTGGAAGGAAGGAGTGAGGAGACTTTTTGCCCACTATGTCCTAACTGTACCTCCTGGTAGTGTAATTGTATGACCAACATAGGCTAAAGCTGCTAAAGCTGCATAGGTTTTGCTGCTAAAACTCCACTGGCTGAAGTTGGACATTTCTGAGTAAATGGTTGGGTTTTGTTGCAGAGTTTATTGCTGAACTGACTGCCCACCTTTGATGTTGGTCACATGCTCCTCCTGTTCTCGCCCATGTTTTTTTCTACGTGAAAAAAGAAATCTCTATAAAACCAGAATAGAAAGAGTCTCCTGCTAGATTAGGGAGGTGTATGCAGATCTAGAGTATTTCCTGTTGATGTGTAACTGCCTCTCAAATACCACTATTTCTGCCTTGTTTCTTCCAGAAATATTTCTGGCATAGCTGTACCTGTAATCCACCCTAAAAGAGGTAGCTAACATTGTTCCAGATCTCTTGTTGGCATTATTCTTGTTGGTTTAGTGTGTGAAACGAATGCTATGAACCTTCACTGGATAAATTCGCCACTAAATGCAAATCACACTTCTGTGGCCATGATTTGGGGTGATTTTGAAGGAAAGCTGTAGCTGGACAGCTGCTGCTGCACAGCTGGGCTCACATGCCAGCTCCAAAATGGACACTGTTAATGGCATGGTTCAGACCTTTCATCCCCAGCTTAGTCTAAACCTGTTGCTACCTCAGCAAATTTCTACGGAAGATCTATGCTGAAATAATTAACTCCTAGATTTTTGAAAGCATGGGGACCAAAGGTGGAATTCCTCTCTTTTCCTGGGATGGGCATTTTGTTTCCCAAAATGCACATTTGGGGGAAATTCTTAAAGGAAAAAAACCCCCAATTCCTGTAATTTCCTCTGCCGTACAGCTGCTTATATACATCTGAGTGACACAGCTTTCAAGCAGACTGCTTGAGGGGAGGATTTTTGGAAAAATCAAGTTGGTTTATGACACATGCATGCACATGTAGTTCCTAATGGGAAAAGCTTGGACTTCTGTGAAATTGGTTACTTCTGGTCTTATGACTGCTACGTTCATGGCTAAAAAGCATGTGTAATGAACTGGCAGCTTCATTGAAAAATGGCACTGTTCCCATTACAGCTACACTGAAATGCCATAGCCTAAAAATGAATGAACTCTTAAGATACAAGCACGATAGAAGAATACATCTAAAATGCCAGCCATGTTTCATTCCCTTGCTTAAACATATGTAAGTGAATCAGCCAAAAACTATAACTGCATTAAGAGCTTAGGAAAGGTTTTCCCATAGCTTCAGCTACAGTTTTGTAAGCACAGTGAGGAAATGTTAAGTGAAGCCAAGTAGCCAAGGCATTCTTAATGTCTGTTACCTGCAAGACTGGAGAATTTAGGACTGTTCTGGACTAAGATACTGCCCCAAAACCCGGAATAAATACAGTCCCTGGGGCATCAAGCTTGGTAACTGTAAGACTAGAGACAACAACTGGAAACAGACTCATGTATGCAAATTCAAATGTTTTTATTTTCAGCATTTTAATTCTGCCAGACTTTTTCAGCTATTTTTCTCAAGTATGTACTCCACCTTTAGTAGGACTGTGTTTCACATCAGGCTTTTCCACTGACTATGTTTTTTGGAATATCCAGAAATCATTCATCTGTCTTTCTGATCAGTTTATGAAGCCAGCTTTATGTTTGAGTTAGCTGGTATAATCATCTTGCAGGAGAGGCAGAAGTACATACAAAATTATATTTCTCTTAAGGAGAACTAGTTTCTTGGCTCGTTCTCTAAGTCTACCAATAGCGTTTAGTGCTGTATTTGCTCATGTGTGTTACTAAGCTTTCCAGATTTCTAGCTCTTTGCATAGTAGAGAGCTGAGCCACTTTCCCAGGACATGAGGGGAGTACTCTTTCTGGTATACCTAATGCTTAGCTGCATTTAGGGAATAGCAGCCAGTCTGATAATCAAAAAAGCTGCGATAGAGAAGTCAGAATAACTGCTAAGAGGCAGAAGGGAACATGTCATTTCCTTCCAAAGGAAAGAAAACGAAAAATCCAGCACCAAAGAACTGAGAAGCACAAGCAGAAAGCAGTATACAAATGAGCTTTGCAGTGACATTAAGCCTATCACATTGGGCTGTATACAATTAAAACACTTTAAATTTATTTTAGGAACTTAATGAGATGAATGTGTAAGATGAGTTTAGATCATCCTGATTAGCAAACAGTCACAGTTCAGCTATCACAGAGGAAACAAGTGCCTGCCAGGTGTGAATCTCACTCCTAGATACGTGCAAACTGGTTTTTTTCCTTATCTTGTCTACACTTGAGGTTTGCACCACTGATACTGGATCCTGACCACTGGCAGCTGAATTAAAAGTCCTGGAAGGAGTTTCAGATTCCTTGAGATTACAGGTGCAAACTCAGTGTTTACAGGGCCTGCACAGTCTTTACAAACTTATTGTTCGCAGGGTCTATACAGCATGCAGTGATGGACTATTTTCCCCACAACTTTTCACGTATGAAATTACAGACATTTTTGAAGGCATGGTCGTCTTCTCCTCCTTTTATGTTTTCTTTAAGTCAGATGAACACATCCTGCCATCAGGTAACTACTGCAGAAGGCAACAGAGTATGTTTTGGCTCTGTTGTGTGCAGCCAGCATGCAAACAACTGGAGCTCACAAAATATAAATGTAATACAAACACACGACATCATTTATTAACTGAACAGCTGAACTGAGTAACTGAAACCCAGAGATGTGTCAGCTGAGGTCTCAAGTTACAAAGGGATACTATGAATGTTTAGTTGCACATAGGGAATAGCAACCAGTCCAGTAATAACAAACTGTCACACTGAGCAACTACTTACAGGAACATTCACACCTACAAATTTACGTATACACAGGCAAGATCAGAGAAGTTCTGAGGAAGAAAGGTGATGGCAGGAGGAAAGTGAATTGCAACAAGCTTTATTCTGCAGTTTCTCCCTTGAAAAGCAAAGAGTTACACAAATCTGCAGCCCTGGGGCGCTGCTTTGTTTTCTGACAGTACAGCTATTTTTCTACTGAAAAATAACGTGCTTTTCTGCAGGTGTTCCCTAGGGAATAACTTTCATGATGGATGAAATGCAGATCTGGAAGTCCAGGTCTTACTCCTGGTTCCACTGTAAGTGACTTGAGCAATTAATTTGCATACTTACAGTGCTTTTGCTTCCACCACTGGAAGACAGGGAGTACTAACACACTCAAAGACATGGTTATCAGTCTGCATAATGCTCCCAAAAATCTGTTATAACTCCTGAGATTTCTGTAGTACCTGTCCTCCTCTGTATATCTTTCCTAAGAGTCTGTGGTTCAGCTAGTTCTGCTGGGAACAAGTTTCCCCAGTTTTTTCATGCCCAAGGCGCCCTTCTCTGGATTACTCTTCGTGGCACACACACAGTGGGTTTCCCGTGAACTGCTGCGTTTGTCTCACTGTTCGCCCTCCCACCACGGGCACTCACTCCCGCCAGGCCCTTAAGGTTCACCACAAAAGGCGGCTGGGCAAGACTGCACAGGCTGCTGATGTGCTGCATCTTCTGGGAATTGGTTCTTTTCCCAGCAAGTCAGAGGCACCATAGCTTGCCCAGGACAGGAGCTCAGCCCCATTCTGAAGGATCCTTCACACAGACTCTCTTATTTTATGACAGATTTCATAAATTTGGTCAGATTATTAGTGGTGTTCTAATTTTAACTTTCTGCAAATTTTTATACTGTACGTGAAGCAAGCAGTAGAGGTTAAAACAGAATTTTCTTGGACTGAAATTCAGAACAATTGCAGATATTTTGCACTGTTAGTTGACTTTATCTTCAAAATGAAGGTGTTCAAAGAAATATCTCTCTCTTTTTTCTAATCTTGAAAAGTAATTACTTAACTGTCTGCAAAGCATGACTACATTCAAAAGTTAGTTTGCCTCTGTGAAACTGGCATGTTCAAAGGATTTGTTGTTGGACACAAATGTGTAAGTGTGCATCTTGTGTTCTTCGTAACTCCATTACACCTGGCAGGTATACTTGCCATTGAAGGCTCACTGACAGAAAGGTTAAAACCCTATGTTTGGGCAACTGTAGAAAAGTAATTCTCAGGAGCCACAGCTTCAAAAAAACATAATTTTATTTAAAGAATGAATGTTGCAGTATTAACTCCTCCTACAGTGGACGGGAGCCAGTAAGACTGGTTATACAGCAATGGCAACCACCAGAGCACAACTCAGTAATTATATTTAGACACCTCAGGGTGGGCAGTGATCGAATACAACACAAGTATTTTTATAATTGTTTTCTGATTTCAACTTTTAAAATCTCCTTTTTCATAGATTTAATTTGAAATAGGAATGGCTTATATTAAGGCTGTAATATCGCAGCTACAGTGATCAGGTGATAGCTAGACCTCAAGGAGCAGGCAAAATCTCTAAAACCAGTTTGTCAAAGTGTTGAGCTGGCATCTCTCTGTAACAGGTTTCTCTTCAGATGCAACAAGGTTGTCAGTCTGGTTCATTTAGTTTTAAGCTCATCACTGTGCTGAAAGCCTCAAACTGATTGTGAGCTGAGGGGAGGAGAAACAAACAGAAAACCCAAGCACACAGAAAGCTTGTTCCTTCCTGAATCAACACAGATACAGAGGATGAAGCCGCTCTACATTTTACAGGCAGTTACAGTAAAAATAAGAAATACTTTAAAAGTTTTAGTGTTCAGCAAATCAGCTTGATCTATGTAGCCGGTACATTTAATACAGTTTAACTATAAAAATGCTGGTTTTGTACAATCTTCAAGTTCAACTTAACCAAATAGTAAACTATTTTCCTAACATTTAGAAATATACAAATAGAATCATAGAATATGTTGAGTTGGAAGGGACCTTTAAAGCTCATCCAGTCCAACCCCTGCAGTGAGCAGGGACAGTGTTATCAAATCAGGTTGCTCAGAGCCCCATCAAGCCTGACCTTGAATATCTCCAGGGATGGGGCCTCCACCATCTCTCTGGGCAACCTGTGCCAGTGACCTACCACCCTCCTATTGAAGAGCTTTTTCCTAATATCCAATCTAACTCTACCCTTCTCTAGTTTAAAACCATTATCCCAATGTGTAGAGAAATCAGAATTATATGGATCCTGTTCTCCAGAAAAGCAAAAGGTAGTTCTGAGTTTAGAGCAAAGACTGCATTTAAGTGTAGGTTAATCTGTTTAAGGAATCGCCCAAGAATTCCTCAAAGGGAAAAACTGCCATAGTCTCCTGACTGCTGATTATAAGTCTTGAACTTAATCAGAGTTAAGTCACTTGCATTTAATCCTGTCCATCCTGACACTCAACCACAATTCCACAACACACTGGCTTCGACAGCCGTGTCAAACCCAGGAGTTCCTGTTCCCTTTTCTCCTCTTTCTGCCATTCACTCTGATTCCTGTACCCCGGTGCACCACATCCTTTTGTGCCAACACAACTCTGAGGCCATGCCATCAAACACAGCGAGCAAACTGACTCAGGTTAAAAAGAACCCCCTTCTGCATGTCCTCCACCCCATAAAAATATATTGTGCATTTACAGCCTTCACAGATTTTTTAACTGGAGCTTTTCCATGACATAAGGAAAAGAGGAAAACAAATGGAAAGATGCAAAGCTTCACATGCTCCTGGAAGTCTAGAGGTAGAAGCACTTGCCCACATGACAAAGGGCTGAACTACTCTAGGCAGCTATCATTTCCCCATGTGTCCCAGAGCAGGCATTTTCAGGAGCGTGACCAGCATCTGCATGTGAAAGCAGTGGTCCTTACCTGGTGTCGATAGTTGTACCAGCCGTTTGAACCTGCAACGATCACCACCCAGTGCTTGCCTCCATCTTCAGGGTCTTCCATGGGGAATGCGCTGATGCCCAGAGCACAGCCCAGCAGCACAACTGCTTTCAATATCATCTCTCTTCTTTATTTACTCCACAAATGGTGGAAAAAAAAAATCCCTAATGAAGAAGTTTGAGAGAAGTAGATAAGAGGATGTCAGTCAAAAATAAAACAAATGCAAAACAAACACCAGTAGTATCACAACTAGAAGCTTTTCTTGCTTGCGGGTTTTTTTTGGTTTTTACAGACCATTCAACCCACAGTACAATTTCTGGTCATATCTTCTTTTAGCACCAAGCTGCTACTAGTTACAAGAGTTTTCTGTCAGCTTTCAAATCTGACTGAATGCAATTCTGACAGGGACAACCAAGTCTTTCAGCTCCCTCTGGTTGTTTTGTTCCATCATAGCTGGTAATGAATAAGCCTCAAATACAGAGCAAGCCTCACTATCAAGTATTTCACTGATTATATTTTTTTTCAGATTAATACTGTTCTCTTGATCTCCACTTGTGTAGTTCACTGATTTCCACTCACTAGCAATTAGCTCATTATTAACGAGACAAATCCCGGGTGTCACAAAAGCTCTCTGTGCCCGCAAAGCCAGGCTGTGCCGCCGTTCTGCACAAGATACAGCCCTACTAATGCTTGGGCTGGGGGGAAGTGCACCCTATGAGAGCCTCATGCTACTTGTGCAACCTGCTATGTGAGTGGAGACCAAATGCGACGGTACCACATGAAAGAGAAGTATTTTCATCTCTTTTGCACAATGGTTAAGTGTTTGCACAAAGTGCACAGCAAGATAGTCAGGTCTGAGCTGGTGGAAGTCAAATTCAGAAAAGCAGAGCCAGAGAGGTTTGAGAAATGCAGAAATGGCTCTTGAGAGGACTAGAAGTAGTGTCCCCACTACTGAACGTGCTGAGCACCCTCAATGTCAGATAAAATGGTTGCTGTAAATACAAACCATCTGGCCATATCTAATCAAAGGTTTGCTTTTTGTTTGGGTTTTGTTGTTGTTGGTTGGTTGGTCTGGGGGTTTTGGGGGGGCTGGAGGGTAGTTTACATGTGCTGGTCACAGTCTCAGGGCTGCTGCATCCAATGTGTTCTTCACAAAGCAAACTCCCCTAAAAAAACGCATGCTTTTGGCAAATGCACAAAGATCACCTATTTCCTCATGCACCAAGAGATGGGATTTTACACAAAAAAAAAAAAGAGATTTTTGGAGGTTGATCATTGCTGATGTGCATGTAAGAGGTGTTGTAGTAAGAGGTGGAGTAATCTACTTTAGCTTAGTTTTCTCTGCAATAAAAAATGGAAACTCCCAAGCCACACAACGTGGTCACAAGGCACAGTGTCAAAGCTACCATAAAAACCAAATAACTAAACAGTATCGAAGTCAGCCTCAGTTTCCCCACAGTCAAAACCATCTGTCTGCAGCCACTCAAATCAGGCTGAAACAGAGAAGTAGCCAGCTGACTGCCAGAGCAGCTGCTAACCTAACATCTAGTATGGGTCTTTGCAAGACTGGATCTGCTGGTCACCAAGATTAAGTCTTGCAGGCAGCAGTATGAAAAATATATTGTGTGTATATATAGTTACATGTGTATATATTTGGAAGGTTTGGGGTTTTTTTCCTTTTTAATGCTGCTAGCACAAAGTAAAGGCAGTCATGTTAACACACCAACTCCTATAGGAAGAGCTGTTACCACACAGAAAAACTCCACAACAGAAAGGAAAAGACAGAACCAAATGTTAAGTGCTATGACACAGCTTCTTCCAAAAACTCACTTGACTCTAGGAAACTTATCTTTCAGAAATAAGTCACTCCTGTCACTTCCTGCAAGCGCGAAATTTGGGACCAAGAACAATGCATAATATTGTAACAATTTAGGATTTGTTGAATTATTAGCTACTCCAACAGTTAAGCAGATAGGAAGGAATAAGCAGAACCTTTCTGCAGCTTGATAAGACAGTTATAATCTCTCATGTTTAGCCGGAATTGTAAATATTTGTCATTGTTCTCACCAAACAGTAACAGGTGGCTTTGCATGGCAACTCTGCCTTGTCTGTTTTGCCATTTCTTCAGATGATTAAGACAAATAACATATTAATGACTGCATTAAAGATGTGCTGTGTTTACAGTATCCACAAAAACTGCCTATTCTGTTGCCAACTAAACACGAAGGTTAATTTCAAGGCAGATCCTAGCATACAGGCATCTATCACATGAGAACAGTCACTGTCCCCAGTTACTGATACACCATGCAACAGAGCCTGATGTAGCTTCAGAAAAAACACTCTATGGAGTGCAAAGTCCTGAACGGGAAACAGTTTGATAGGGCTGTCTTTCCTGACAACATATGTTTTGTCACGGATAATTTAGGCTAGAAAAAAAAAACCCTCCTTTTTTATACTAATGATATAATCCTACTTATCTGTCTTTTGCTATATCATAACTAAATCAAATTAACAACAGAAAGAACAGGGAAACCACTGAGATGTACCACAATGCACTAATAAACCATGATTAATAAGTGCTCAGCTCCTCAAGATTCTCCAAGCAGCATTTAAAATAGGTTTAACTACTAAACAGAATGAAGTGACAATAGGTCTTTCATTGCTTTTTTCCAACTACTAAAAAAACCAAAACCAAATAAAACAAAAAACTTCCATATTTCTGCTTGTTTTAAACAAAGCCTTTGAGTGCTCAGGCAGCAATTTAAAAGATTGTGTTCTGGGCTGTGTTAAATGAGTTCTTGACCTACAGTTGAGAGGAGAAAGTTCCCGTCACATGCTATATCTTTGGGTAATATCAGAAGAGAAACTAGCTCAGTTGACCAGCTTACCACAGGTACATAAAAAGCTTTTTTCTGCAAGCAAAGAACCAAAGATCTGTCACACGCAATCCTAAATGAGAGTGAGACTACATGGAAAAACTGGTAATTCAATACAAGACCACATCAGAGCTTTGGCTGACCTGCAAAAAAAGTATGAGATTATGTTATCAGCGCTGCCTAGTCTTTCTGGTAGAAGCGTTAATTAACTTTACTTTGGGGACAGTGTCAGGAAAAAGACACATCTCACAGACACAGTGAGTTCAGCATCAGATCTACGCACGCAGAACTACAACACGCACACACACAGGTAGGGTCCCCTAGAAGCATGGCCAGAACTGGGTGGCTCTTGCCAGAACAATTCACTCTGCTCCTAAAACCTGTTTTTCCTGACAGAGGTACTTCGATCACTTCTCATTACATGGCTAGCACACATCTCTGACTTGATAAGAGGGGATGCTTAAGAAAGACCGCATCTGGAAGTGGCCGGCTGCTGCTACAAGAAGTCATCTGGTCAACAGCCTGTTCCCCAATTTCCCAACTTTCCTCTGGGAAAAGAGTACACCAAGATCAAAAATCTTAACAACAGGACACCACAACCTAAAGAAAGGAGTCTGAGTTGATAAAAGTATTTTCCACTAGTGTTTAGAGTGATGTTGACACTTTGGTAGCTTAAACCTCAAACACCTCAAGCACAGCCTCTAAGAGATGTATAAACAAGAACCATATATCCATTTTCCCTTCATGTGAAATAAGGGAGTTAACAGCAATCTTGAGGGAAAATAACAGCCTTAAGTTAATCAGCTGACCATTCCAGTTTTTTCTTGGAAATCTCTATTTCTTTTCAGCGGCTCTTCTTTTGACCACCAGCCTTTTAGTTTTCAGAATCAAGTCACAATTTCTTTTCCCACACAGTGCTCACACACTGTCTGTCACTGCAATACTTAGATGCTAATTTCCACAAAATATGTAACTCACGGTAACCCTCCTCACAGTAAACTAATGTCGGCAGTTCTCTGTCAGCAATGTTCTGCCTACATGCTGTGCTGGCTGCCACACAAACTGAAGCACCTAAACTCGTGATTAAGCCCCTGCGGAATTAGTCTGATTTTCTTTATGCACTTGTATGGTAGAAAGAAAAAGTCTTTATCACTGCAAACTCTGATAAGCTGCATTTTGAAGGAGATTATGGTCTCCGTTGCAAAACAATTCTTTACAAAGTCTACTAGTAACCATTTTATGAATCAGCTTAATTTGATTAGAACTTGTAGTGAAATAGTTTAGCATAGCAACTGAAGATGTTTAAGTCACTTTTACTGTAAAAAAAAAAGAATCTGTGATTATGTTAACTCAGAATGGTTTTAAGCACTTTTAAAAATGTTAAATAAAGGTATTTAAAAGTCATCTTAAATAAGTTTATTCTATTGTTTTCAGATTTGTCTCTCAGCAGCAGAAAGATGGCATCATTTATCAGGGAGGGAAAAGAAAACAACCAAAATCGTTCCTTATGCTTCCTAGGATGGTGACAACCTAATACACCTGGGTTTTGAGATTGTTTTTTATTCCTATGCACTTTAAAAAAGCCGAGAATCAAATCTGGCATATCTTAAGGTTTCAGTAAAACTGCTCCTGCTACTTACTTTCATATCTGTCTACAAATACACAAAGCCTCTGCAATCACATTCTGATGATAGAAAAAACAGCTATTGCAACACTGGATGAATAACTTTATTACATTGCATTATTCGGGGCGGGGGGGGTTGAGGAAGAATAAGTTGGGCACAAGTCCACATTTCCACTCAACAAACATGAAAAGGTTTGGAGTGTGGACAATGAAATTCTGGAGAAGATATTACACAAAAGTCTGAGATTCCTGCACCCCACTTCTTTTACTGTGGTTTATCTCAGCATTTCAGATGTTCACTACCACCTTTGTTTTAACCCCAACACAGGGTTGTCCCACCTTACCTAGGAACTAGTGGTGCCACCAACTCTGAGCAAACCTTGGCGTTATGGCAAGGCCATCTCCCAGATATAACCAGACACAGCACAGGACCTTTCAGGCACTATCAGCTCTTCAGAGAAAACCCATAAATTGTTACCATCACTTTCCCCCGTTAAAAAATGTATTACCGGGGTCTAAATTTTTGCATCCCCCTAGACCTCCGTCTGCTCCTCAGTGCCAGCCCTGAGCAATGCCCTTTTGACTCTCCCTCCTCTTTCACCCCCC